AGAAGGAAGAGGAGGAGAAGGAGATGGAAGAGGAGGTGGAGGAGGAGGAGATGGAGGAGGAGAAGGAAGAGGAGGAGAAGGAGATGGAGGAGGAGGTGGAGGAGGAGGAGAGGGAGGAGGAGGAGAGGGAGGAGGAGAATGAAGAGGAGGAGGAGGAGGAGATGGAGATAGAGGAGGAGGGTGGGACAGAGCATAGAAGCTTGGTGAACTCCTAGAAGTATGCCCATGCTCTGTGAGCCTATCAGATACGGAGGCTTTCTCCTTCAAATATATCCTGCCTCTGCCAGCCAAACAGAGCCCAAGTAGGTTAAAAAGGAAGATGAAGAGCCAGCCTGGATAGGGAGGAATAAGCATCACATGGTGCTGTGTTGAAATGGGGTCCCTGTAGTAAGACTAAGGGACCCTGGGTCTGGCAGGAGGACAGGGAGGAGACACGAGCGCCCCTTTCCAGGGGTGGCACTTCCATTACACACATTACGCGCTTTCCCAGCGCCAGGCCTGATGCCGAGTGCTTGAATCCCTGACCTCGGCACTTACTGTGGAAGGTGTGCAGGTGGATGGAGAGGCCATTGGCTTGACGGAAGCCCTTGCCACAGTCTCTGCAGACATAGGGCTTGTCCCCGGTGTGGGTCCTCACATGGCGGGACAGCTCGATGGACTGGGCGAACACAGCATCGCAGTACTGGCATGCATACATTTTCCCTGCAAACAGACGTGAGCTCATCAGAGCCAGCACTGAACTTTCACAGCATTCCTACGGACAAAGTCACATTCCAAGGCATGTACCAGGGAAACACCGCCTTGGAGATGACACTGAAACGTCAGGTAATCGGGACCAGCAGGTGGCATAGTGGTTGAGGTGCTAGACTCCCACATGGCCTACCACTGTTCGAGTCCTGGACCTGGTGGTTTGCTTTCTCCCACTGGCGAATGCATGTGCCCTATAGCAAATTAAATAATAATAAATGAAATAAAATAAATAATTCCAAAAACATGTTTTTAAAAAGTATCAGGTAATCTCTGACAATGGGTAAGAAGAGGTCTGAGTCTCTCACGTGGCACCTCACAGACACTGCTGACAACACAGAGCGTTTGAGAATGGCCAGCCGGAGGAGTAAGGACAGAGTTGCCATCACACAAGAGAACTCGTCTGTTCGTCAGACTACCACAAGTGTGGAAGAGCTCACTCTACTCCCCGCACCTAGAAACAGGAGAATTTTGGCTGCCATACAACATATGTAGAGTGGGTCCGCAACTGCATTCAATGAGATTCATGCATTCAGAGAACAGTGAAAGCCTTCTGCCAGTGACCTGCTATAAAGCTATTACATATCCTTGGTTTCTCACTTTTTTCATGCATATAATGAGAATGTAATGACCAGATTGCCAAAGACGGTTAGAAAACACAGGTAAAGAGCAAGCCTGGGCATCCGGCATTTGTAAGAAATGCTAGAACCTCTACACACCCTTATATGCCAATCAGTGAACTGAGGCTCAGGGCCCCTGCAGATCCTAGGGCCTGCTGTTTCGACTAGAGCAGTCAGCCTCATTTTCATTTTTTCACATATCGGGCTTTGAAATAAGATTGTCATAAAAAAGGATTTTTTGAACCTAGAGTTAAGATTACGGACAAGCCCAGGGCTCAGTCCTGACCTTTTTCTCTACCCTCACCTTCTGGACGGCCTTATCTCAGAGCCTACGTGCCATCTGCACACCAACGCTTGCCTCTCAGCTCTCACCCTTCCGCAGGGCTCTGGACAGTCCATTCCCTGCCACGCCGCCTCTCCCTGGGGAAGTCTATTGGCTCTCGCCACTCACACCCAAAGCAAGGCTCCGGATGCTGTTTCCGCCACCTCTGCAGTCCGCCTACCCACACACAGGCACTCCGATTGCTGTGTCAGTGAACAGCGGCATCATTCACTTAGATGCTCATGCCCCAAACCCCAAGCCTCCCTTAAT